GTAAACTTTGGAGCTTTCATGGCTTTTGGAACCTCTGCATCCGTAAACTCCTTTTCGACTGGAGCCTCCACAGCCTCTGGAGTCTCTGCCTCCGCAAACTCTGGAGCTTTCATGGCTTCTAGAACCTCTGCCTCCACAGACTCCTTTTCTACTGAAGCCTCCACAACATCTGGACTCTCTGCCCCTGTAGCTTCTTTTTCGTATGGAGGTGAATTTTCTGCGCTCAAAGTGGCACTAAGCTTCTTTTCAAACCTTATTTTTAAAAATGTCCTCCTTGCAATCTGCGATGACATCAACGTCCATTAGAGGCTTGGCCTCCTATTGATTTGGTGTCAGCGGCTGCACTCCGGCTGCCTGCTGATGGAAGGTTGGCGGTTGTATCTCTGCGGCCTGCCCTCCTTACCCTGTGTTTCGATGATCCCCTTCCATTGGAGATTAGCCACGTTCGGACCGTGACATTCCCATAGTGGTGTCAGCGCATTCCACATAGGTTTTCCGCTTAATCGCCCTGGCGGCATCATGCCAAATGCTGGAAATTTATTTGTCCCTCGTGGAGGCTCACCACTGCTCTTCAAAAATCCAACGACCAAGGGGTTCCAGCCCTCCACAACTTATTGGCTCCAGCGCTCCACAGGCTGTTAACTCCAGCCATCCGCAGGCTGTTGGTTCCAATATTCCAAAAACTTGTGGTTCAAGCCTTCCACAGGCTGTTGCCAACCTTCCACGGGTTGTTGGCTCCAGCCTCCGCAGGCTGTTGGAACCAGCCTTCTGCAGACTGGTGGTTCCGGCCCTCTGCAGGTTGTTGCTTCCAACTTCCTGCATGCTGTTGGTTCCTACCTGATCTTTTCTGCTCCAGCCCTAAGGCCTGAAGCATTGAATGTTCTGCAACGATTACGTAGTTTTCTTCAGGCGGTACAAATGAACCCCATGTAAACCTCGACATCACTCTTCGAAAAATCCAACTTTACGCATTAGGAAAACAACTAGGTGAACTTGACGAAGCCATGCTCAGCCAATACCTAATACTCCATTCACTGATAGATACACATGCAAGGAATTTGGTTGAGGTACTGCTCAGTGGCAGGAAGGCGAGCGCCGCACTAGAATTGTGCGTAGGAGCGCTAGAGACTCAAGCTGCAAGCCCGGGTGCAACTCAAATAGAAATTCTGAAGGCACTTGCGGTCATCACCCAGCAGAACGCGATCCTTATGGAACAACAGCTTGATACAGCGAAACGTCTCCAAAGAATGGAAGAGCTAGTGCGGTAGCTAGCAAAGAATTTAATGAGGACCCACAGGGGAGAAAAAGAAATAATGTAGGGTCCTCCCCCGTGTACATAATTTTTTGAATTGGCAAGGGTTGTACAATGGACTAATTATCAACGACACAACAATTTTTTGTAACAAGTGAAATTTATCTTTTAGAGTAAAGTCACATAACTTGCAAACACCAGATTGAGTAATCGTCCCTCGACCTTCATCAATAATGCGAATATTGAGTTAAACTAAGTAACAACATATATGACTTGTAAATATTAGTGCCCCTTTTGTTTCAAATTATCCATACTCAGTAGGGCAAACGAACTTCTGTCTATCAACTTTGCTTACAAGAGATGACTTGTAAAGAGAAATCCTTCAATATGGTTTAAGATACGATGTAAGCAAAGCAAGGAGGACCTTTCATTACAAAAGGAGCTGAAAAGGCCTAGGTGCCCAAAATCAAATAAGATCATGAGCAGACACAATATTTGTTTGAAACTCTTGGTCCAAAGAAAAATGATTCTCCACACCCTTCGGCCGAAGGCTTCCTTGATCAAAATAATAGCCCCTGCTAAGCAAACAAAGTAGACGATATCGGGATAACTTCGCTTATGTTAGATCAAATGACAAGTTTGAATGCTTAAGGATCAAATTGCCTCTATTTGAGATTCACTTTATTCCTAATCATGGCACCGATCTTAAGCAATACTTGACTGCAGTGAAGAGAACAACTCTTTGCTCACATAATTTAGTTTGTTTGAGGACGAACAAAGGTTTAGTGTGAGGAGGTTTGATGACTCCAAATATGAGCATATTCCCCGCTTGAAAAAATTATCTATTACTTGAATATCTGTATAAAAACTATCACAATACCTGATTTATGGCGTACTTTATTGATCTATCTCACTTGGCATGATCCAGAGTTGGTTTGTTGAGATTATTAACAATTTTTGCCCTTTTTAAGCGGTGATACGGGTCCAGAAAAGCTAAGGCAGATGAGGCAAGCGACAGTCATTTCCGTTCACAAGTGACGACCATCGTTCAGAAAAGCTAAGGCAAGAGAGGCAAGTGATAGCTCCTACCGCTCGCAAGCAATAGCCGCCTCCGCTCCCAAGCGACGCTCCTTCGCTCAGGCCAGAGACCAGACACCCACCGCAGCAAAGCTACGGCAACTCAATGCAAATATCGCCTAAGTGTCCAACCCGCAGCGGTACAGCCATTCAACTACCATCCAGCATAAACAAACCCGCTCAGCTACGCTGATGCCCTCCAATCATCCGGCAAGCAAGGAAGATTTGCGCCCTTACAATCCTAAGCAAGCGAAGCGAGCACCATGGGAGTTAAGGCCAGAAAATGCTTCAACAGAATAACCGCCACGAACTACCTAACTACCTAGCGGTTGGAACTACTTTCTAATTGCTTTGTAACTGCTTGCAACTGCTACTTCCACCAGCTATAAATAGGGCCAAATATATGTATGTAAAGATATACTTCAAGAGGAGTATACTAGCACTTTTTTCGCACATTCTAGTTGTCTTACTGTCTCCCGAAAGCTCCAACCCTGTAAGGGAGTTCTCAGCAGGATTGGCCAGAGGAGTTGAGATTTCTCTTCTCCCTTGGCCACCACTTTACTACTTACCTATTTTAGTTTATCGCTTAATTAAAATTTTTTAAAAGTAGAAGTTCCAGTTTTGGTAGTAAGTAATGAAATATTATTTGTTCTTCGTCATCACTTCTTCCATGCTTTTCACATTTATATAAACCCTAGTTGTAAAAGAATTTCACTTCGCTGGTAAAGAACACAGAAAGATTGATTATCCAAGCCTTGTCTTTTGTCACAAACAGTTTCATGGTAGTTCAATGAAGTTGAGTACGTGGGAACCTTGTCGACCTGCTTAATTACTGATTTAAATTCAATCTTGATTAAAAAGAGGTAACAGAAGGGTAAAGCCACTAATGAGGCAGAATTTGGGATAATTAATGGGGCATAGGCGGTGGTCTATTGGGTCGTAGAAACTCCTAATGACAGTAGGGTTTCTTTCTTATAATGTTCTGATTCTGGGTGTCATTCAAGTCTTGTTGTAAATCCCTTAAGGTCAAGTACCAGCGATCAAAATTCTTTATAATCTGGTTTATATATTTACATTACCCCCTTCCTACCGCTTCCATATTATACATATATGTTTCGATAAAACACCAGCATCACTCGCTCATTGCATTCAGGAAACCCTAGCCATTGAGTAACGCATAGTTCAGACACAACATCTCTCCATCACTCTCTACCGCTCAATCTATATAAATATATGTTGTGCCATCCGCTCATGTTCCTATCGCTCACCCATCGTTGGCACCTTGTCCGCTCACCACCGCTCCCGCTCACCCATCGCTCACTCTTTATCGCTTCCCTTTCCAACTTTCTGTAGTTTAGGGTTCAGGCCCGCTGCAAAGTGGGTCCTTTTACTACTTTTTCGCCGCTTTCATGAGATCAATACTTGATTTAAATTTTGACTTAAAATCATTGTGTTCGACCTGGAAACGCACCAGTCAAATAGTATAAATAATTATGATAAACAATTCAGGGTCTACAACCATAAATTTTTGCTTTTTATGACCGCTCACAATAATTCCTTACATCTCAATCTTTGAACAAAATTCTCTGTATTTGAACATATACAAAAATCGTGTTGTCATAATTTGGCGCCGTTGCCTGGGATTTTAAACTCAAGAAATTAAATTTTGTTAAGATCTACTGATACGTCATAATTTACCCTTAAATTCTATAATTTTGTTTCCTATTTTTTGTCTTTGAATAATGATTCTAACTTTTTCATTTGGTGTGGTTATCGTTATGTAGGGGTCCAAAGCGTTTTCAGCGTTCTACTAGTCCCACTCGTTCTTCTCGCTCACAGAGACATCTGTTCAGAGAGTTAACCATAGAAAGGATTATGGCAAACCAAGGAAATGTAACTGCTCCCTCTACTGCTGCCCCAACTTTCCAGACTGCCACTGGGACTTCTTCAAACTCAGTCACATCAGCATCATCGCAGGAGGTGCCGCTCCACATTCCCGTTGTAGTTCCAATCGTTATTCCCCATGCGCTGACACCGACTGAGGAACAGCTCGTGAGAGCGCTCAGCCGCATTCAACAAGGAATGGCTGGACAACATACGCACTTCGTCCAGGTGGAGAAGGCTCAAGCTGCTCAAGGGGCATTTATCGCTTCCCAAGTAGCTCAACCTGCCAACACCACTGCAACACCCGTCATTATTGCTCCTCCTCCACCTACTACTGAGCCTAACCAGAGGCACAAGGGACACAGGGCTGCTGATCGCCCGCTTGCCGAAGTCCCGATGGCCGTTCATTATCAGTCTCTCCTGGATAACACTTTAATTACAAGTTTTGCGCCCAGAGGCTCTGGACATTACGAGGTGAAGCCAACGCTCGTCAGCCTGGCCAGCCAGAGCCAATTCCATGGGCTGCTCAATTAAAGCCCGTATGAACACTTGTAGAACTTCAACAGGATCGTTGCCACCTCCAAATCACATGGCATCACGGAGGACGCTGCAAATTTAATATTGTTTCCCTTTTCTTTGACAATAGAGGCTAGGAAATGGTTTGACAATCTCTACCCTATTCATGCCACCTTTAATGAAGCATCGCAGGCCTTCATAAGCAAATATCATCCTATATCAAAGACCATTAGCCAGAGGAATGAAATTTTAAGTTGCAAGATTGCGAGTGATGAGACCCTTCCCAAAGCCCAGAGCCGCTATAAGCAATTGCTCCGCAACTGCCCTTATCATGAGGTCCCTGACTTCATGGAGCTGCAGATTTCTATTTAGGAATCACTCTAGAGTTAAGGATGTCCTTGGATGTTGCGGCAGGTAGCTCGCCGATGGGGCGATATGCCTCAGAAGCGAGGGCTTTGATCCAAAAAATGGCGGCCAATCAGACTAGTTGACCAGAGACCAACAGGCCGGAACCATACGGGGTCTGTACCAAGTTCCTGTGTCAGTTTCATAAGATGCACGGATTGACAGCCTGTCAGTTCAAATTAAAGAGCTGTCTAAGCTCGTGAAGCAGAACCTGAGTAACAAAGGAAAACAGACAGTAAATGAGGCCACGGTCACTGAGAAGTGCGCCTATGTAAACCAATCGAGACCGCAGGTTGCTGAGAGCTCATCTGAGAAGACTCAGAACCCAACGGAGGTATTTTCTATGGCAAACAGAAATGCTCCTCAGTTCCAGCAATTTCATAAAGGGCATGCTCAAGGGCCCGCTGGACCGCATCCTCCGCAACAATTTCAATAGCCGCAACAGGTCGCTGTGCAACAATATCATCAAGAAGGATTCTATCTACAACAACAATACTTTCAGACCCTCCCCCCCCCACTTTCCGCAGTAGGCACCTGTATTTGCTCAACCTCCCACAGCAGTTTAACAACCGCTGAGTCTGGAAGAGCTCTGGAGAAACATAGAGCGAGCGAATCAGGAGTTCCAACGCAACACGTCTGCCTCGATCAAGATGTTGGAGATTCAGGTCGGGCAGATAGATGAGGCTATGAAGCTGAAGCTGAAGGGAACGTTCCAGTTGAAACCGTCCCGAACCAAGCGTAGGCTATAGAGACAAGGAGTGGAAAGTGAACACAATCGCCACCGCTGCCAGACAAAGATACTAATCCTTCTTCTACTCCTTTTGTTGCTAATTTGCTAGTATAGGATGAAGTTAGACAAATTTCAATCGATGAAAATGGTCCATCCCAGCCGCGAGCTATACCAGCCACTCGAGTACCTGAACAGAACGAAAAGGGTCTCGCTCAGTCTGTGGCTAGGGTTCCTTTTCCTATCTGGTTTGGGAAGAAGGATGGCTCCAAGGATTTTGATAAGTTTGTGCATACTTTCCGTAGTCTTAAATTTACTATACCGTTTGCTGATGCTTTGTCGCAAATGCTACATTACGCTAAGTTCATATATAATCAACCGGAAGCGGGCATTTCCAGATGAAGCTGCAGCGGTGCAACTGGAGAGTGTGTGCATTGCCGTATTTAAGGAGGACCTCCCGAAGAAATTAAGCGATCCTGGGAGTTTTATCATGATTTTTACTATTGGCAATCTAGAACCGATTAGGGCATTATGTGATTTAGGAACTAGTATCAATCTTATCCCTTCTTCACTTTTTAGTAAATTAGGGCTTTATGAGTTAGAAGCATGGAGAACTGTAATACAGCTTGCAGATAAATCAATAAGACTTCCGAAAGGAATTATTCGTGATGTATTAGTGCAAGTAAACAAATTTATTTTCCATGCAGATTTTCCAATAATGGAAATGAGCAAAGATCGCGAAATTCCAATTATTTTGGGGAGACCTTTCCTAGCCACCGCTCAAGCAACTATTAACGTTGCTCAAGGAGAAATCACACTGAGCTTAGGTAGAGATAGAGTCACATATTCCATGAACAATGCAATGCGCCAACTGTTTTAGGTGCCATTTTTGCCACCAGATCAATAGAGATCCCGAAAATGATATTGATTTCGGGCCCGAACCAATGGTATTCGGAAACTGAACCTTGGTTTGGTGAATTTCAGTTGGCCTTAAGTGTTTCTCAAGAAGAAAATTGTGATTTTATTGATGAGTTAAATGAATTATCAACTTTTGAGAACTATATGACACTTGAAACTCTGGAAGAAATTTCAGATAATTGATCGCTTGAGCTGGACAATGTTCTGGGCTCTGGTGGGGCAAGCGATAAAGTAAAATCTCTCACTGAGTCCATTGAGAAAGCAAAGCGAGAGCCAGAGAGCGATGTCTGCATCAAAGACGAGTTGAAGAAGCTACCTGACCACCTCAAATACATATAACTTAGCCCAGAATAGACTTACCCTCTGATAATCTCCGCCTTACTACTGCCGAACAAGGAGGCCTAGCTCGTTTCACTTCTCAAAAGAAGAAAAGTGGCATTTGCATGGAAGATCAATAAAATAAAGGGAATCAGCCCAGCAGTGTGTATGCACCATATCAAGCTGGATGCTGATGCACGGCCATGCAGACAACCTCTGCAGCGCTTAAATGAAAATATGCAAGAGGTAGTTAAGAAGGAGGTAATAAAATTGTTCGATGCAGGAATCATCTACCCTATCAGTGATAGCTAGTGGGCCAGCCCAACCCAGGTGGTTCCCAAGAAAGAAGACTTTGTTGAGCAGACAAGCGACAAGGGGTGGGTTTTCATGACAAGACCTGTCACTGGTTGGAGGGTATGCATCTACTACAGAAGGTTGAATGCAGCAATGAAGAAGGACCATTTCCCGCTTTCATTCCTTGATCAATGTCTGGAGTAGCTCGCAGGACACGAATACTACTGTTTCCTCGATAGTTACTTAGGTTACCATCAGATTCCCATCAAGCCGGAGGACTGTGAGAAAACAACTTTTATATGTCCTTATAGTACGTTCGCTTATAGGAGGATGCTGTTTGGGCTTTGCAATGCTCCGGCCACCTTTCAGCGATGCATGTACCATATATTCAGCAATTTTTTGGACTCCTGCATAGAAGTTTTTATGGATGACTTATCGGTATATGGCAAGACATTTTCCAAATGCCTTAATAACCTGGATAAAGTACTTCTCCGTTGCATTGAGACTGACCTCGTGCTGAACTGGGAGAAGTGTCATTTTATGGTAAATGAAGGAATTTTCTTGGGCCATAAGATCTCAGCTACCGGAATTGAGGTAGATAGATCCAAAGTTAGTGTAATTGAAAAGATGCCGGCGCCCTCGAATGAGAAAGCAGTGAGAAGTTTCCTTGGACATGCGGGTTTCTACCGTCGCTTCATCAAGGGCTTCAGTCAAATCACACAACCGCTCACTGCACTGCTATGCAAGGAAGCTCAATTTGACTATTCGAGCGAGTGTAAAGAGGCTTTCCTCATTCTAAAGGAGAAACTAACCACCGCTCCCATCATTTCAGCACCAGTGTGGAGCGAGCCATTCGAGCTGATGACAGATGCAAGTGATTATGCCGTCGGCGTTGTTTTGGATCAAAGAGTGGATTCCAAGTTGAATGTCATTTATTATGCAAGTAAATTATTGGATTCCGCTCAGAAAAATTACACTACAACCGAGAAGGAGTTGTTTGCTATTGTCTTCGCTTTTGAGAAATTTAGGCAATATCTCATCGGAAGCAAGACCACTGTTCATACAGATCATGCAGCAATCAAGTATTTGATGGAGAAGAATGAGACAAAGGCCCACTTAATCATATCGGTGTTGTTGCTCCAAGAACTCGATATTGAGATCAAGGACAGAAAATGGAAGGAAAATTATGTTGCAGATCACCTCAGCAGATTAAGGCAGACAGAGGACATATCTCTTGGTATCAATAAATTATTCCCATATGAGAGGCTGTTTATGGTTCAAGGGAAGGAGCCATGGTTTGCTGACCTGGTAAATTTCTTGACCATGGGAAAAGAAGATATTGCTCAGTTTGGCAAAGGATTATTTTTGGGACGAACCTTATTTGTTTAACATCGGCTCAGATGGGATAATCCGCTGTTGTGTAGAGGAATCTGAGATCCCGCTGATTTTGAACGAATGTCATGGGTCCCATGTAGGAGGGCATTTCGTGCACAGCGGCCAAAGTTTTGCAGTCAGGCTTCTTCTGGCCTACCCTACAGAAAGATATTGATACCTTTGCTAAATCTTGCGAAACGTGTCAGAGATTGGGCTCTATCTCAAATCGGGATGAGATGCTCCAAAATAGAGTCTTGTTTGTGGATATTTTTTATGTGTGGGGGATAGATTTTATGGGCCCCTTTCCAAACTCAAATGGGAAACTATACATTCTGGTGGCAGTGGATTACGTGCAAGTTGGTCAAAGCGCAAGCGCTCCCAAAAAATGATTCTTGATCTGTGATCCGTTTCTTAAAATTTACCATATTCCCAAGGTTTGGGGTCCTCAGAACTGTCATAAGCGATGAAGGCATCCATTTTGTGAATAAGGCGTTGCGAACTTGCCTTCAACAATATGGTGTTCGTTAGCATCTAACTACCCCCTATCACCCACAAGCAAGCGGTCAGGTGGAACTTTCAAATAGAGAAATCAAGCATATCCTCCAGACTACAGTGAATAAAATTCGTAAGAATTGGGCGGAGAAATTGGATGATGCGCTGTAGGCATACAGAACAGCATTTAAAACTCCAATAGGAATGTCCCCATATAGACTCATGTATGGAAAAGCCTACCATCTACCTCTGGAACTCGAGCATCGCGCATATTGGGCTATCAAATATTTGAATTTTGATCTTCTTCCTGCGCAGGAGAAGTGCGCTGAACGATTGCTTGATCTGACTAAGTTCCAATACCTTGCATATGAAAGCGCGAAACTCTACAAGGAAATGATGAAATTCTATCACGACAGGAAGTTGAAGAAGAAAGAATTTATTGAGGGATCCAAGGTTCTGTTATATGATACTACGCTTCACCTATTCCCAAGGAAATTGAGATCACGGTGGACTGGGCCACATATAGTCAGACAAGTTCTGCCAAGTGGAGACATAAGAATCAGTAATGTGGACAACCCCAAGGAAAGCGATTCCTTCCTTGTCAATGGAGCAAGACTAAACGCATATATTGAAGGGCCTATTTTGCAGCGGGCCAATGCAGATATTAATCTGGTGGACGTACAGAAACTTGCTCAGTGATAGAATTGCAAATGATATACAGTAGCACCTTATATTGAAAAAAAAGCCAACTTTTATCGCTTTCATAGTTAGGATTTACAGATTTCTTTACCACATTCATAGTTAGGATTTACAGTTTTCTTTACCACTTTCATAGTTAGAGTTTACAGCTTTAATTATCGTTTTCCATAGAATAGTGGTTATTGCTTTATTAGCTAGGATTATTGTCGTTTAGAAGTAGTTTAATGCTTACTTTCGTAGGAAAAATAGTTGGAATTTTAACTTCTAACCTAAGCCTGACCCAAGTCAATCATCGCTTCGCTTGTTTCATCCTGATACATACTGGAAGAGCAGTATCGCTTATCCACTACCGCCTCCATCATCATTTGCGTGTCATACATAGGTATTTAGAACTGCTGCTTTAACCGCTCACCCGCCCTGTAACACACCCTTAAGCCTTTATATTAATATACATTGGACAAGCTTACCGCTTCGCTCACCCCTCCAGATAAGCGTTAGTGTCCTCTATAAATACCCCAATTCACAGCCATTTTCCACTTTTACCCTACAATAACTTCCTCAAGAAGCTTCAGCAACCACCATTTCTCCGCACCCTTCAATACAAAAATCTCGATTCCTCAGCCATTTTTAGCTTAATCCAAGGTAAGATTTAGGCTAACCTTGGTCTATAACCTCGATTTCATGGTTTATTTTCTCTGATTTGACGCACAATAACACAGAATCAAATATTATTTTTTTGAAAAAACTGTATGTTCTTCAACTATTGTGAAACTTTTTATATCTTTGATTTCTGTGAATCTAATTTTGTTATATGCTAGATTTAGATATAAAACTCTTTTACTTGCTTCGTATGGATCAATTTTACAATAATCTATATGTTTGGTTGTTGTTTCGTGATTTTCTCTCTCTATCACAATGAAACACTTACTGGAGTGTTCTGTTTCGTCGTGAAGGGGAGGATTTAGGGTTCAAATCACTGAGATTTAGGAAATTATTGCCTGTTATGTGAATATTATTTGCATTTTGGAACTAATAAGGTAGGATTTGTAAGTTTCCCAAATTAAACAATATAAATCTGGAAAAAACTCTAGGTTCAGAACAAGCCAGCAAAATAGATCCAAGCAAACGAGAAGCGTCACTCAAGGAGTTCGAGAAGGTTGAGGATAAAGTTATATAAAGAATTCAACAAATTAAGTCTACAGACGGCAAAATGTGGTAACTACAACCTCAGGGACTGAATTTGTGGAACTAGCACTGCCGGAGCCATACTACAAAATGAGAAGGCTATTGGAGTTAACTGAGGATTGGGGAAAGCTCGGAGACCTTAAGTCTATTCTATTCAGGAAATTCATCCTAGAGTTCCCGGTGGATTACCTCATATTCGAATACACAGAAGAAACAGAACAAAGGTACCCGGTGAGCGACTGGTGGTTGGATTACGAGGAGTTAAAAGACTTTCAGTTGAAGGAGCTTAGGAGAGAATTCACTCGCCGAGAGATTGGAGAAAAGGTAAAGGCCTTCTGAAGCGAGAAGATTTCAAAGAAGAACGCCGCCGATGCTGCCAAATCCAAGCAATATGATTATGTCCATTTTGTAAACATCTAGACAGCAGCGGCATACGAGAAGGCGAAAGCTATGGGGATCCTCTACGAGGAGGATTTGACCCCGAGAAAATCTCAGGCCCGCTCGCCGAGTGATTGAAGGAGTGAGGTCTGACCTGGTTGATCCAAAATCCCAAGGACCCAGTGGTTGTGTCATAGGTGAAGGAATTTTACGCAAATCTGAGCCAAACTAACAGTCTACAGAATGTATATGTTCAGGGAAGATGGGTAGATTGCTCAGCGAGGAAGATCAACTGGGTCCTAGGCTGGGAACACCACTATCCCACCCAGGAGATGGAGACCAAACTACAAGCAATTGAGGACTGCAGCTCACTGGAGCTGCAGCCGCTTTATAGGACATTCGCCACTGCCCTGGACTATGAAAAGAGGAACCTGAAATTCGGG